TTATTGGTCAAAAATACCTTGAAAAAAACATTAATTCTTACTGTGGGTGTTGCCTCTCCACAGATCTAACATGTAACTTGGCATAGTGGCGTCATCTGCTCTTCATGAGACAGATAAGTTAAGTGTCATACCCCGGATAGTTAATGGAGAGATTAAGTTGAAAATGTGGCATGCCCTCCTCCACAGGAGTTACAGAGTACACATTTCAAACTCAGACAGTGGTGTGGAAATGATGAGTTAGAAGACGGTATTTGCCTGTTTAATATTACCTGGAGACACTTTTTTGTACTGTTAAAGTCAAACATGGTGGAAGGCCAAAATAATGTAACAATCCAAATTAATGTTTTGATTAAATAATGAAATGTGTGTTTAAATTTTATCTTTACTGTATAATTTGTTTAGTAAAATAATTTTTCACTTTTGTAGGAAATCTGTGACAATCCTCAGTTCATTGTTGGAGGAGCCAGCAGGACTGACATTTGCCAAGGAGATCTGGGTAAGTCTTTGATGGCAATGGCATTTGCCTCTGATTATTGTCATACTGTTAACACATTAAACTCTTAAGTTCATTTGCACTTAATGTGCACATGTGACCAAATGTTTGTGGTGACACCTGTAATATAATTACAGCACTACACCATTTATCAATAGTATTAATTCAATTTGTTTATTGTTCAACTTTAGTTGAATATTCCATACATCTCCCCTGCTCACGTGCCTTTGAGCTCGCTGCGGCCTCCTACATTGTGCTTAGTCTATGGGAGGGGAATCCAACCAGCAGCATTTCTCATTGTTGTCCTCAGCTGGCCCCAAATAAAGGGAACAGAGGGACAAAAGTTTATGTAACTGGTCCCAGTGGTAAAAAACTTACATTGTTCAGGTCACATACACCTGACTCTCAAAACACAGTAGTCAGCACTTAGACACGTCCTATCCATAGAGAAAATCTGTGAGAATACCCTGTCAATATTTTGTTTGATATATAAATGTATTGAAGTATATACAGCACCTTTCCTGCAGTTCAGAATGCCATTGTGTCCTTGGGCAAGACACTTGACCCAACTTGCCTCCAGTGTCTTTGTAACACCTACAAACATAAATAACTCTATGTGCAGGTGACTGCTGGCTGCTGGCTGCCATCGCTTGTCTGACCCTAAATGAGAAACTCCTGTATCGTGTGGTCCCTCATGAGCAAAGTTACTCAGAGAATTACGCTGGAATCTTCCACTTCCAGGTTAGACTTTTTACTGTATTCATTTAACAGTATTAGTGTGTAGTGCATTTTCAAGAAACACCCTTCTATCCTTATGTCTCCTGCAGTTCTGGCGCTATGGTGACTGGGTGGATGTTGTCATTGATGACAGGATCCCAACTGTCAACAACCAGCTGGTCTTCACCAAATCGGCCGAGAGGAATGAGTTTTGGAGCGCCCTGCTGGAAAAAGCCTATGCCAAGTCAGTTATAGAAACACAGATTTTTGTTAATGTTTAATTATTTAAGGTGTATCCACCACCTTAAATTTTCCTTTTTGGAAAAGACTACTCACTCAACCACTCAGAGTAGAACCAAGACTGGTTAGACTAATTTAAGAACATTTAAGTCAAAGTTTTGCATTGTTAATTGCTATAGCAACAGTCCTAACATTTCATCATTCTGAAACCTATTGATAATTATGGCAAAATAGTACAGTCTCTACAAATGCTTAAAACCCCTTTGACCTTTGCCCTCTGACCCTCGCCCTCTATCCAGGCTGCATGGGTCCTACGAGGCTCTGAAGGGTGGGAACACCACTGAAGCCATGGAGGACTTCACTGGAGGAGTCACAGAGTTTTACGAGATGAAGGAAGCGCCAAAAGAACTGTATAAGATCATGAAGAAGGCTTTGGAGCGAGGGTCTCTGATGGGCTGCTCCATCGATGTGAGGCAGACAATATTTTATTATATGATTTTTTTTTATTTATTATTTATTACATTTTAAAACATATTAAACATGTGAACAATTACAGTGAGGTATGACATCCCACGAATTAACACAAAAACACTTACACATTAGACATTTACACAATTACAGTATACACAAAAAACTGCATTGACCCTCCTCGACACACTCAGCATTGGAATCAGACAACATAAATCTGTAACTTAATTTTTTGTCCTGTTCTTAATGCTTATATATTCATTTATTCACTATATATTTTATATTTTAGTCCCTGGTTCCTGCTCGGTTTGAGACCCGTACAGTGACTGGGCTAGTAAAGGGTCACGCCTACTCTGTCACTGCTGTGGAGGAGGTAAGAGTTATGATTAATTTAAGTTGCAATAAAAAAGTTAATCAAATACACCAAAAATGTCAGTATAGAAAAGTAGTTGTTGAATAACCATGAATAATAACACGAAAATAAGTAATATATTTAGTCATATATTTGAGTAATACATTTTTGCAGTGTAGACCATCTCAGAACAAGGAATCTAAAGTCCGCTTGGTGAGGCTCAGAAATCCCTGGGGTCAAGTGGAATGGAACGGGCCCTGGAGTGACAAGTACGAAAATCAACACAATATTAATTACGTGTTTAATCCATCATTACTGTCATTATTATTACATTGTCATTCCCAGCTCTAAGGAGTGGGCCACATTGCCTAAAGCTGAAAAGGAGAAGCTGCAGCACCAGAATGCAGAGGATGGAGAGTTCTGGTGAGTGGCAAACTATATCTTGTTCTTTTAAAGGGCCCATATTATGTTATTTTATTATCTAAGTTATAAAGTTGTTTCCTCATCAAAAACATACCTGGAGTTGTCATGTGGTAATACAGGAAGTGCTCCACTGTGATTTTAAACTCCATAGACCTTTACTAGAATCATTTGGATAATTTCAGCTGTAGAATTTCCAATCTCTACTGAACTGAAGGAAAAAAAGTAGCTGTTAACTTGAAAACTACCAATTTCTGACATCAGAAGGTGATACAGAGCATTTTGAGCTCAGGAGATGAAGACAGACTAATAATAAAGGATCACTCAAACGTGTGAATGAAACAAAACATAACTCCGGATATGTTTTTGACGAGGTTGCAACATTCTAATATGGCTTAAAGCTCACAAGAGTCGGTTTTGTGTAATATGGACTTTAATGTCAAAATGTATTTATTAGTTTTGACTTTATTTTCAGGATGTCATTTGAGGACTTTAAGAAGAACTACACAAAGATTGAGATCTGTAACTTGACCCCTGACGCTCTGGAGGTCGATAAGATCCACAAATGGACAGTGTCTGTGAACGAGGGCCGCTGGGTCAGGGGCTGCTCCGCTGGAGGCTGCAGGAACTACCCAGGTGATCATGAGGAACTCTTTTCAGTGCTTGTGGATTTTGATAATGGATATATTTTTGTATTATCCCATGAAACATCAGTGGTCAGTTTTTTTTTACAGTGTAGAAATGCCTAATGTTAATATCTGTTGTGTTGATAATAATTAGTGCCATTTAGACATATGATGATTTGACCAGATCCCACTATTGCAAACTTAATTTGATTGACTCCTAATTTATTCATTTTGATCTACTTAAAGGTGCACTGTGTAACTTTTCTGGTGGAGTGTCTGCCATCTGCTTGTCTCAATGGTGATATTATTAATTCGCCTGTGATGTTACTGTATTAAACAAATATATCTTGCATTTATTCAATTATAGGAGTTCTTATTTCTCAAAGCTATCATAAGAACATGCATTATTACTGTGGTTGCTTGTCTCTATGGAAATAGTTAGATTAAATGCCATACTGCAGAACATTCCAAGAAAAAACAATAACATCTACATACAGTCAAGCAGTTGATGGACCGTCTACCAGAAGAGTTACACTGTGCAGCTTTAAGAATAACGTGTTTCAAATTTGCATCCCTTTCACAGACACATTCTGGACCAACCCTCAGTACCGCCTGCGTCTCCTGGAGGAGGATGATGACTCTGAGGAGGGCGAGGTTGGCTGCACGTTTGTGGTGTCTCTGATGCAGAAGAACAGGAGGAAAGAGAGAAAGATGGGAGCCAATCTGTTCACCATCGGGTTCTCCATCTATGAGGTGGGTTGTGGTGAGGCAAATATGCTTAAACTTCTTATATACTTTTATTTTGGAAGGGATTCTTCAACAAATAAAAATAAATGTTGAAAATTTGCAATTCAGAAAAATATGTCAAAAAACTAAAGGTGAGCAGAAATAAATAGAAAACACCACTGTAGTGTAAATTCTTCAGAAATCAATTTATCTACCATACTTATATAATTGTTAAGTATGTTACTCTTTCTAACAAAGTTATGAATGAAAATTAATATAATAATGTCTATAAAGAAGTACAAAAACCTGATAACATTTAGGTTCAGAAATAGTTATTATTTATTTGACTATTATTATGATGAATTACTGCTGTATTATTATTATGTTTCCTTTTTGCTGCTGAAAATAGAATTTCCATCAGGTTCAATAAAGTTTGTATCTATCTATTTATGTCACATTGACTAACTGCTTTTGGGCCTCTCTGTCAACAGGTGCCAAAGGAGGTAAGCCACTGTCCAACAGACAAGCTTCCAAGGGTTACAAGTCAATTTCATCTCACTGGTTTGTTTGTATTATTTTTGTTTTGCTAAGAACTCCTTAAAAATTTTTTTTAACTTGATTTCAGATGCACGGGAATAAGCAGCACATGCAAAAGGACTTTTTCCTGTTGAACCAGTCCAAGGCTCGCTGTAAGTCCTTCATAAACCTGAGAGAGGTGACGCAGCGTTTCCGCCTCAGTCCTGGAGAATACGTGATCGTACCATCAACCTACGAACCACACCAGGAGGGGGAGTTCATCCTCCGTGTCTTCTCTGAAAAAAGGAACACTTCAGAGTGAGTCTGGGGATGAGGGGTAAAAGATCAAACTATGTATATTCAATATGTTCATTCTTTTACAAGAGATGGTGTAAGGTAGTATTTCATCAGTGGTAAAAATTTGACTGACGAAACTGCACTATTTAACTTTTCTGGTGGAGGGCCTGACACCAATTAAAGTGCCTGTAATTGAATAAATGCAAAATACATATTTTTAAGCCATACTCTGGAGCAGGGGTGCTCACACTTTTTCAGCATGCGAGCTACTTACAAAATGACCAAGTCAAAATGATCTACCTAATACAAAGCCAAGCAAACTGCACTGAAACACTCTGTGCCCATTTTTTTGGACCCTCACCCACAGTTTGAGAACCCCTTCTTTAAGAGAACTTCCTCTGGCACTTTACACAAAACTGTGAAAAAAATGAAGGAAGTAGGTAAGATTTTTAAACCTGTTTTTTAAAGTTCCAAACTGGAGTTGCATTCTTTTCTGGTTTTGCAGTGATATTTACCAGCCTCTGCACGTTTACCAAACCAAACGCACATCGTGATAAACACAGATGCATTTGTGCACTTTTGTTAGGCGAACTTCAGCTAAATGTGGCAGTAGGTCTGTTCTGTAGGTCTGCTCTATGCTGTAGGCCTGCTTTGTGCCAACACTGTAACACAAATTTAGAATAGTTTTTGCTTCACATTTCATCTTGCTCTTCTAATCAGCGCGCACTTTGGAAGGAGCTTGTTTTCGCTGTACGCAGGAAGGAGCGAGAGCGGGAAAAGGCGAGGGGCGGCGTGCTGACGTGAGGCAGATGGACAAGTAGGATGTTTAGGAAGTTTAACCTGCCCTGTGATGCACGCTGATACACGAGGGCACACGCTGTTGCAGACAAGCCGTGCATAGAGAGCGTGTGTATTTGTGATGTGCCGTAGAGTCTCCGCGGGCGGCACTGAGACGCCCCACACGCTCCTGCACCCCGGTACAAGTTTATTGCCAACAGCAGTGGACCGTAATGAAATATGATCACACTTGTTGAGTGTCAGACCTTGAGTGAGAGACAAGACCGAGTCCAAACGCGAGTCCGAGACGAGACACGGCGATCTACCCACACGACCATCGACGTATTGAGCACCCCTGCTCTGGAGCATTCTAGGCAAAGCACTAACATCTTCATGACAACTAGGAGGTGGCAGACCCCCACAAGAAAAGTTACAGAGTGCATTTTAAATAAATATTTTTTAGGTATTTGATTATGTTGTAACAACAGTTGGAAGGTAGGGGACAAAATATATCACAGTTTAAATTTAAAAATCTCAACAGTCAGTTCTGTATAATTAAATAACTCAACATCTTGGACTTGAAAAAAAATGTCAGTACTTAGTCATTTATATTTGCTATGGGGTATATTTGTTGTTTGTCTGTGTATATTTTCAATGTTTTTAATTGCTATGTCCATGGGGGTGTGGGATGGGGGATATCTTCGTCAGGAGGGGCTTGTATTACCAAAAACAGACCTTTTTAACGAAGATTTGATTTGTAGAATTGGACGAACTCGGGCCCAGTTCGAAGCTGTTATGGAATCTTTTTTAGGACAAGAAACTTCAGATTTGGTCGTTCAGCGGTAACATACAGCTCTGTACTGCACTCTGCTGCTGCCCCAAATCAGGACAGCCTGGACTGAACCTGGTCTGGACCTGGTCTGGACCTGGGTCTTTGAGGAGCCTGAGAGTGGATGTCCAAGGCTACAAAATGGAACTTGTTTTTTACACATTCTGTTTATCTTAAGAAATAGCATTAGTTGCAATAAATTAACTGTGCAGTAGAATAGTTTATAATGTAAAGTTATGATAGTGGTGACCACTATTTGTTTCTATCTTCATTCAGGGAAATAGAGAACAGGATCGAGGCTGACCATCCCGTGGTAAGTAGTTAAACAATGTTGTGTCTGGTTGATTTTAGTTTTATACTATGTTTCCAAGATGAAAAATGGTAAAATGTATACCATGTTTGTCAAACAGCATCACAATCATTTGAGGATCCCGCTATACATTTTTTAATATTTGACTCTATATCCATTACGAATGTATTAGTAACACTTTATAATTTAAAACATTAATAAGCCAACATTAGCACAGAGAATGACTCAGTTCATAATGAACAAATAGTTTATTAAGAATGATCCAAGTTTAATTAACATCCTAACTCCTTAATTAAGTAGTTACCACACATGAATAATTCTTAATAACTGTTTGTTTTATTTGAGTATTACTTCATGTGTTATTAATGCTGTAAATAATGTAGTTATTATAAAGTATTACAAATGTATTTGTCACACATTGGTATGGTTGGTATAACTAACCATGTTCATATTGTAGCCTGCTCCAGCCTCGGCGGGGGAAGAGAGTGAAGAGGACCAGCAGTTCAGGTCTATTTTTCAAGAAATAGCCGGTGATGTGAGTGTAGTCATTATATTAGAGCCTGTATTTTAAATGGACAAGACACATGTAATTGACAGTGACATGATATGATATTATGAGCTGTAATATATAAACATGCATTAGTTTACATATCTGTCCCTTCATCATCCTCACAGGAGATGGAGATAACGGCCAACGAACTGCAAAATGTCCTCAACAGAGTTATCACCAAACGTAAGTCTGAAATAGTTCTTTTAAAGATATGGAAAATTTTGAATTCGAACACTGAAAATAGCTTTATTAGTTGAAATAAAGTTGTGATGTAAAAGTCATATTTCTTTTGTGAGCAACTTTACGCCCCTTTGTCTAAGCCTTAATTAACAACTTTAAAGACACTATTCGGCATATTTCTGTTGGGGTCCAAAAAAATTCCGTCATCTTATCGGGGTAGTCCGAAAAATAGAGATATTAATTTGTATCAGTACACTTATGCCTTATTAATTGCATTGGGTTTGTATGCTGTATTGATAGTATCTTTCTTTGGTGTTTCTAGACAAAGACATGAACACAGAGGGCTTCAGTCTGGAGAGCTGCAGGAGCATGATCGCGCTGATGGATGTATCTTTTGTATAAAAACTATAAAATGTGTATCTTAAGATAAAATAAGATAATCCTTTCTTGGCACACAAAGAAAAGACAACAGAGCAACATAAGCCCAAACAAACAAGATTATTATATCCACCACTGGACTTAATAATCTTCACCTTAACCTTTAAAACACCAGTGCTTTTATATAGATATTTAAATGTGTTATGTAGGGCCTAGAACTAGCTTTTTGATTCAAGATTTCATCATTATCATTATATGCCATATATTTAGTGTGTTAGTGTGTTTTGTTATGACCTTAATTGTCCTTCAGATGGAGGGAACAGGGCGACTGAACCTCCAGGAGTTCAGGCATCTGTGGAACAAGATCAAACAGTGGCAGGTGGGACGCTCTATAGCATTTTATATCAATGCCGATAACACAGATGTAAACATATATACCCCCTTATCGCTTTTATTAAGTGTAAAAAGCACTATATAAGTTTGATGCTCTATCAATACATTTTTGATATTCACTTAATTTCTTTTTTTTGTAGGGAATCTTCAAGCACTATAATGCCGACCAGTCTGGGAGCATCAACAGCTATGAGATGAGGAATGCTGTCAACGATGCAGGTACAGACCAATGTAAAAATCATTTATGTTCTTTTCTATTTTGAAGGATTTTTATACTAGTATATATTTTGTCAATGGGAAATAGTTGTTTTGGTCAACACTCAGCACAGTTTAGTTTAAGCTTATGAAAATTTGTAGAAACCTTTTTTTTCCATGGCATAGCATAGTAACCAATTAAATAGTAAATATTTTTTATATAACATCTAAAAAATGCACATGATGAAATGATACCTTTTCTTTTGTAACTGTGATTAATAATTCTAACATTATGATGTTAAACTTATCCTCTCAATGTTGTACCAAATGTTGTGGTCACTGTGCAGTCATGGGTCTTGTGTCCCTCCCAGGCTTCCGTCTTAATAACCAGTTGTACCACATCATCACCATGCGCTATGCTAACGAGAACATGAACATCGACTTCGACAGTTTCATCAGCTGCCTGGTCCGACTGGAAGCCATGTTCAGTAAGTCACCAACACCTGGGAGCAAAGTACCTAGTTTTATTATGAAAGTGGTAATTTTTTATTTGGGTTTCAGTTTATATGTAACCTTCTGAGGACTTAGACTTAAACAAACTGTATTATCCACAAGGGAAATTTCCATTGCCATTTAAAAATATATTAGTAATATTTTGTTTCATCACTGTGGCAACAGTCCTAACTTTTTCTAATTCTGAAACCCATGGGTGGATGAATTTTAATGTGTAAAATGTATAGTTTTATTTTGAAAGGGTCATCTTGTCCTCTGTCACCAACTAAATTTGTCACCATGAGCACTATTTATTTATTTTGAGAGAGTTAACTTTATTTTGGTAATAGTTTTATTTTGAAAGGGGTATCTTAGCTCTTTTATCATCAGTTGAAAACCATCTAGACACTATGTTTATTCTGAATGGGCTTTCTGATGCTTTGTTTTTACTACATCATTTTTATTGATAGTTTTATTTTGAAAGGGTCATCTTGTTCTTGTTGCGTCTTAGTTGCTGTGTGGTGTTTTTCTTCTCAGGGGCGTTCCAGGCCTTCGATCAGGACGGAGACGGCACCATCAGACTCAGTGTCCTCGAGGTGAGACCGCTCTCATTATATAGCTTCATTACCATCGAACGATTAACCTGCAACATATTTTTCCATCAGTATTAACAACTCTAAACTTGAGATGCCAAATTGAATGAATTGTTATATACAAGGTGGTAGAGGGTCTGCTATGTCTCATGTCCATAGTGATGCTATTGCTTTGCCTAGAGGGTACCACAATATTCTCAGTAAAAGTAAAAAGACATTGTTGAGAAAAGGTCTTCTAAAGTGCCATACTGTATGAACAGTAAAGCAATAGTATCTCCATGGAGACAAGCTGGTGACAGACACCTCACTAGAAAATTCACATAGTACAAGTTAAATATTTTACCCATTGTAACTAACTTGATGTATTTTGCTCCAGTGGCTCCAGTTGACCATGTACGCCTGAAGAGTCCACTCTGCTCCAGACTGGGTTTTACCTCAAACAGTTTGTTCCAACCTCTGCTCCATCACAGCCCCTCAGTTCTCCAGCCTGTTGTAATCATCGTCTAAAGCACAACTATTCACTGTTGTATGATGTTAATTCTCAGGCATCTAAAACAGAACAACCTCTTTATTTCTGTCACAATACCTCACAACAGCCTTCTCTGATGTGTCATTAACTGTACCTCCAACTGTCAAACACACCGAGCAGTAATCATGTAAGGAATGAACTGGGCTCACTGGTGGACTATCAATAAACTTGTGGACAAACAAATGGACGAAAACAACTTTTTTACTCTACTGGTCAATCAAATAAACATATAATGTCTCCTTTAGGACTATCTTAAAATCCATTGTAGCCAAATCTGAAAGGGAAATTACATAGGGTCAATCCATATTATTACTCTTCTTAATACTTTGTTATAAGGAAGCATGCTACCCATTTAAAAATAAACCTACTGCTATTTTAGTAATTTAATAAATCTTTGTCAAAAGAAGTTTCACCGGATTACACTGATGGAGTTTACCCCAGTTATGAATGAATGAAGAGCATAGTTGTTGTTCGAGTTTTGATCTGAAAATATAGATTTGAAAATGGCTACTAGGTTGGACTGTGGCATTTTGTGATTTTCTATGAAGGCTTTGGTCAAATTAGTGTACGGAGTTTTCCATTATATTCCAATAAATAAATGTATAGTATTGTTTTGACTGTGTTGCGTATTAACTTTCCCCTCCCCCGTAAACACTGATTCATACACGTTGATCATTTAATTAACTTGCAGTGAATAATAAAAATAAGTCTGTTTTTCTGTTTGAACATTTTAATATCTTTTTGATTGCACATTTCTTAAAAAAAGCAGATAACATCTTTTATAACAGAATAACATCTTGAAGAAACTCGGGAATGCCAAGGTTAGAAAGGGTCTGTATGCTTTCCTTTGCCTTAAAACTATGCAAAAAGTCGAAAATGTTTGCTGCAAAATCAAGTCCTCTATGAAATGAAGAGGAGCAAACCAAAAAAATACAACCAGATCTGCCAAGAAGAGCACCAGTTAAAATGGTATTGAAAAGAAAAATGGCTTGAATAAATGTAATATTTTAGTGAGGTGTGGTATGGCATGGGTTATACACCAATTAGGCACAACAAAAAGATCATCAAGCATTATTTTAGAGCAATTATGGCTAGATAGTTTACTTAATCTTCCAATCTAGTACAATTTTTGATATAGGTTTGTTTTACTATTACAACTTAAAAATGCATTCTAGGTTAATCTTCCAGCTAGATACTCCTTACCATGAAATTATTCCAAGATAAGAAAAAGGCACAATGGTAACCTACTGTCTGAATTGCACAGGAATACGGATGGAGACAAGAAACTATAAAGTCAATTTATAGACTGGGAACTCTCCAAAATAACAATAGATGAGAACTGTCAAAGCCTTGTCATTTTATATGGCTTCTAACAGCTGTAATGTTATGCCTGATTGGTGTCTCTCTATTACTTTTCCTTCATACTTTTCATCCTTCTCAAAAACACCTCCCCAAATGCCTTTTTCATAAACTATCAGGTGCCTTCTGCTCAATTCTCAAAAAAATAAAAATAAAAATAAAACATACATATCTCCAAGTGGGGAATTAACGTAGAATAAACAGAACTCTCACACTCGGATCTAAAATTACAGTCAAAATCACATTCACAACATCTTGGTTCAGTTTCACAGCAAACTGCAAAAACTCTCCAATGTGGCAACCTCAGGCCACTTCGACACACAACACTGCACTAATGTCCCTCAATGCCTTTATATCAGAGAGCAACAACAAAATGAAATGGAAATACGTCTATGGAAAACAGATGAGATCAAAACAATCTGAGAAAAATAAATAAAACAAAACAAAAACAAACAAAAAAGAAAAGAAAAAAAGGAAAATTAGATGATTCCTAAGTTTGAAAAATATTGAAAAATAAAACTTAAAAACCAAATGCAAAAAATAAAATCTGTAGATGGAAAAACAAATGTAGGGTAGTCTTAAATGCATAACTAAATTTTTTTCTCACCATTGCTTCTGTAAAATAGATTTCCCTATATATCACCATAGATATGCTTTAACACTCAAAAATGGTAAAATTCTTAAAACAGTGTAAGTAGAAGTAAGCTGTGACCAGGGTTTGAGCCATACGGGGTTACAAGCCATTGCCAGACCCAACCAGGATTAATAGGATAGTAATAATAGGATACTAGAACCTGTATTAAAACTGAAAACTGCTGAATGAAGACACCCATAAAACAAGTAAACATTTAAAAGAACAAAAAATAAGATCATGATAAAGATGTTGCTCAATATTAAACATCACAACAGTAAAAACATTTCCCGGCCCATGCCATCAAGTTAGCCAACCAATCAGAATGCAGCTTATTGAATAGTGGTTAGTTAAAACAGGAAGCATATTAACCCCTCTGTTACCGGCTCCGCAAGAGTTTCTTCAATTACAAAAGTCAAATATTTTGTCTTAGTTTGGTCAGTGTTAGTGTGGTCAGACAGAAAAGAGGGCGAAGCGTATTTAAAACAGTATAAAATGACCTTCCCACAGCCTCACGTCTTTATTGTTATAAGGTTGGATTCCAACATTGAACATAAAATATGATACACCACTCTACAGGCTTGAGCCATGAGAGGTGGGTCTTAGCACTGGTCCGTCCCAATATGGGAGGATTTACAAAGGAGTAAAAGGGTCAAACTTTATTCCCTTCGGCTTCAAGGCTCCACTTGGGACTCCTCTGCCACGTGTTTCTGCATGTGCAAAAGCATCGTCTAAAAAAACACAACAACAAAAAATAAAGTTTCAAAAACAGAGAGGAAAGTGGGTCCTATAGCAGCTGGTAATTTGCCAAAGTACTCTGTGTCAATCCCAATCGTGAATAATTGAGAGCTGCATTAAATGTGCACGATGTAACTTTTCTGTTGGGGGTTCGTCACTTTCTTGTTTCTATGTTTTATGTTCTATGAATGTTCCACAGTATGGCAATAAACAGCTCTACCTTACCTTACCTTATTCAACTGCAGATGGTGTATTGCTCAAAAATACCTGGAAAAACAGGCATTGTGAGTGTGAGCACAGGTTACCTCTCCACAGAGCTGTAACTTGGTCTGGTTTGGTCTCTGTTATACTAGAACGTTTAATGCCATACTGTGAAACATTCCAGACAAAGCAATAACATTTCCATGGACAAAAACCCCAACCCCAAGAGAACTTACTTTTGTAGTTACTTCTGAAACTGTTCCTATATTGGCAAGAAGTGTATTACACATACAAAATTTACAATAGATATCAGAATGGTTCATTTAGGTAATTTAATTCATATTTTTGCATAATTGTACATATTTGCTTTATTGTCAAAAAAAAAGTTCAAATTATACTTTGCTTACAACTTGCACTGTGTATTAGGAGATCAATAAAGCTCCATCTTATCTCAAAACAGGACTCACCTTTTTGGAGCTGATGCGACTGCTGAAAAACTCCTCACAGTTTTTCCACCGGCATCTCAGTGTCTGCAGGTTCTGGCTGGCGTGGTTATGGCACAGGTGGTGCTCCAGGTGATCCAAAACGCCAAAGACCATCGAGCAGCCATGCCACTACAATAAAAGGGAATGATATACACAAAACTATTTAAAACATTTAATTATTAGATTCCCATGGTAATAGAGTGGTTGGCAGCTTTTGTGGCCACTGGTCTCACATGGAGCACATTTTTTATCTTTTTGTTTTTTGAGCTCAGTTTTAAACATGATATCATGGGATTCTAACCAATTAATAAGTGCAGCATGTGCAGTACAGAAGACACATGTAAGGGACTGTTAGATTTTGTAAAATTAGTCTGTTTTTCACGTATCCATGGAGAACATACAAGAGGTTAGTTAGCTAAGGAGCTAGCTATGGATATTTGGCATGCTGCAAATTTTTTACACCGTATGTGGCAGCAAATGAGTCAGAAAACCTTTAGAGAAAATACTTTCAGGGAATGAACACAAGGAACTGTTGCGATTGTCTCAAATTAACAGTTTGTTTTTCCCATATCCATGGAGACTGTCCCAAAGGTTACCTATGAAGCTAGTTATGGAGATGCTACAGGCTTTTTACACCAAATGTGGCAAGAATGAGGCCTTTCCTATTGTGTTCACCTAGTTACCCCCTGGACACTGTTGCAGGACACAGAGGAGGGACACTTTTGGCTCTTCCACAGGATCAGCAAACCCTACCTGACCAGTCCTTCTGTTAAACTGCACTGTAACCTTTGACTGAGACACAAAGGCAACCGAGAAGCACAGTGAAAATGTTGCTGCAGAAAAACTGCAAGTTTCCTCATGATCAATAAAGTATCTCTCTCTTGCTCTTATTGTTGTTGTGTTAAAACCAGCTTAATGTCTGTCTCAGTTTGTGGTGGTATACAGCAGAAATTGCAAAAAATATAGAGAAATTCTATATTCTTACCCGACAATGATAGTTCTGCATCAGGTTAAGTTTGATGGCCTGCACACTGCCATCATAACAGCCTGTGTAGATCTGAAAAGACAAAGCCCAATAAAATACAGATCCTGTATATGTTCTGAACATATTTGTATTCATTTACTGAGTAGGGATGAAATTACCATATTTTTGTGCGTGGTCATACACATCACCATGTCCTTATGTCCACCATAAACCTGCAGCTGTTCATGGGACTGTGGGGCCAAACAACAATATACTTAGCACTTAATACTCATACATATATAAAATATAAAAACTTAACAACAAAAATATCACAATTAAAACAAAACTGAGTTCAATTTGAGTTGAAATAATTATCAAATCAAAAAGACTGCAATTATTAGTATAATGTCCGGTGCAACAAAATAATTTGACCTCTACAAACATGTTCTGAAATGCATGAGATTCTTGTATTAATCTATCAGTTCATATTTCGGTTTTATGACAAATGTTAATGATCCTAGAGTGGTTTACAGTGTGCACTCTGAAGAAAATCCAATTTTTTAAACATATATAATAGTTACTTTTATTTTGAACATTTTAAAATTTAAGAAAGCACAACGTATGGTCTCCATGCTTGGACAGTTCAAATGTGTACATTTAATGAAAAAAAATTAAAATCACTGCATGTTCAAAAATGGAGTAGGAAGAACCATATATGATTTAGTCCTACAATTAATGTACAATATTTCATCTACATGATATTCTTTAGTAATGTCAGCCTTTACCATATAGTTAAACCTTCACCATGCAGTCAAGTACATTATAGTGTCTATTTACAAACAAATCTAATTTGAATACAGATCAGAAAAATTGCAATTACATTAATTAAGTGTCTGCCAATCGTACCTGCAGATCATAGACTCGGATGAGTTTATCGAGGCATGCGGTCAGCATCACCTTCCCCTGGACACACACTACAGAGACGGCGTGACTGTGGCCCTTATAGACACGCGCCAACTGTCCCGACTGCGCACAAGAGGGGACACACATTATAGTTTAGATTCGGGAATAGACTTCATATACTGAGACCATGAAGTATTAAAGGAACTTATCATGAGTAAAAAAGCCAATGGACTTACATGGATATTATGAGCGTATACGCACTGATCACTGGATCCACTATACACCAAGTCATTCACCACCTAAAAAAAGACAGAGAGAAAGAACAATTATTTATTTTGAAGATATATCATGGCCAAACAATCAAATATACCTAATAGTTATGATAAGCACTGGGACTGCAATTAGACTTTCAATTAATAGGGACCATATTACGCAAAATTGAGCTTTAAGCCCTGTTAGAACGCTGTTATCTCATCAAAAACATGCCCAAAGTTGTGTTGTGTTTTATTTACACATATATGAGTAACCCTTTATTATGAATCTATCTGCATTCAAAGCTGAAAAAGCTCTGTTCCACCTTGTGATGTCATGAAGCGGTAAACTAACTTCAGAACTTCAGGATTGAAATTATCCAAATTATCCTAGCAAAGGTCTATGGAGTTTAAAAATACAGTGGAAGAGAGGAAACAATATTATAACATAGATCAGAAAACAGCGTAATATGGGCCCTTTACATAAAGGTAACATTAACTAATTGTTTAGTGTAATAATGTAAAAAGTGTAATAATGTAAAAAGTGTATCTGACCTTCATACAGAGCACTGTTTTGCTGTGTCCCTCCAGGGTCCGCAGCAGGAGCCCGTTCTTGGCGTCCCTCACACTGATGGTGTTGTCATAGGACCCCACCAACAGGAGGCGCCGTGCCCCCTCCTGCGACGAGGCCAGACAGCTCACAGCCCGTGGCCCATGGCACTCGAACACATCCATCTGCCTGTTTGTCTAGATACAGAAAGATAATAGTAAATAATGATGGTTAGCAGTGTCATGAGTTCTTTTGTCTGTGTAATACCATAGTTGTTCAGGTGGCAAAAGAAAATGTTATTCTGTCAATTGGACAAATGTTTTTAATAGTGAATATATTTTGCCACTCATTCAGTTAAATAAAATAAAGTAGTAAAGTGTACCTTAATCTTAACAAGTCCTAACAGGATACTGGTTAAGTTCCTGCATTAAATATTTGTCTGAAGGGAGGAGCAAATACGCCCTAGTTGTTTACAGTAAGGAGTCTCATTATTTAAAGATGGACTGCGTAACTTGTCTGCTAGAGGGTCCATCACCTGAGATGTGCCTAGAATGTTCCACAGTATGGCCATAAACTTCTCCATGGAGACTTGCAAGCCAAATTACAGGATAGATGTGAGGAGTGGCAAACCCACTCACAGTAAATAACACCCTTAGTTGAAAAAAATGCAAGACAGACTAGTTTAAAGCATTAAAGCCACAGAGAGAAACAAGTTACCAACCCCTTCCTAAAAAGTTACACAGTGCACCTTTAAATAGCAGATACTCCATTGAATGACCAACAACCCAAGTTATATTTTGTTCAGTTGACAAGCCTTAACATGTAATACCTTGAGGTTAAAGGTGACCACAGTGCCATTGCCGAGTCCTGCGTACAGGATCTTCCAGCGACTGTGGAGGCAGAGGACTCTGTCGGTCAGTGAAAACTGCTCCTCAAACTTCAGTGTCTGTGGATAAGGAATCAAAAGACAATAATTATACAACAACAAAAAAAGAAAGAAGTATGTATTCGAGCTGAATTTCAATGGGACGTCATACAGGAGGGCAAATATGTCTACACATAATTGATAAATACCTATAAATTCCCTGCTATCATAACAAAGCCATGTACAAACTCTTTACTGAAGTTCAGTATGTTCTAAAGCCAGTATCAGACCCAAACCAGGAGCTGAATATAAGGGAATACTGTGCCAAACTGAATAACTAATATTATAATGATAATTTACCGTGAGACTGTAGCAGCGAATGGTCAGGTCACTGGAGCCAGTATATAGGCGATGATGGAGATAGGGAGCCGTAGACACCAGCAGAGCATTCACTTTGGAGCTGTGGCCTTCAAATACTGCTACACATTTATGACTCTGTAACCAAAAATATAACTATTAGCTCAAAAAAATACTGACAAATACTGACTTTGTGAAATACTGTGACTTGTAAAAGTGAACACTATTTAGTCTTTAGTAAAGTTTTGTGCAAGTTTATTTATTATTTTTTAAAATATTTTTTATTATTTTTTTTTATTATGTATTTATTTTATTTTAATTAAAACTGAAACTAGCAGTAAGCGACATTTCTCCACTTCACTTTCGGAACAACAACTGAATCTCAATACACTCTCTCTTTTTTAATTTTAATCTTCATGATTATTTATGTTTTGATTTGTTTTTATTATGATTTTAATGTATTTCTTATTCTGTAAAGCACTTTGAATTACTTTGTGTACGAATTGTGCTATACAAATAAACTTGCCTTGCCTTGCCTTGCCTAGAAGCAAGCTTTGGCATTTTTCTCATGAACTGACTTATATCGCTATAAGTTTAAATTTTTGTCAATATTGCACAGCCCTAGTAAGTAGTATAACATTTAAATTCTCCAAAAACATACCACAATATCAAAGGCCCTGACAGTGCGGTCCCCAGAGCAGGTGTATAGCAGCCTGTCATGAATCTGCATTGAGTTCACTGCCTCCACGTGGCCCTCGAAAGTTCCCTCTGTGGGCAAGTCATCCTCCCCGTGATCAGAAGAGACATCTAAAAATATAAAGGTACACTGCATTAGTTTAAATCTGTGTTTTACAACCTTTTATGAGTCATGGCACACTTTATTTGCTTGAGGAAACCCACAAACCCACTGAACTTTTTAAAAAGTTGCTGCAAATAATAATAGATTTTGTATTTGTAGATACGGTGTCTTCAGAAGTTTGCTTAGGGCAGCCCAAATGGCAATTTATTATATTAAATGAAGGCACAACTGACTATCCCACAAGGTACATTCATTTTTCCTGGACCAGTGCTTGACAATTAAGAGTTCTAATAATGTGATAATACTACTGTGGTTATAAATATAAATATAAATTCTTAGAAGGTTGTGTGACTGTTGGCTTTAGGCATTTGATATCTGTAACAATATCTTGACCATAAAAAGTACTATGGGGACCCCTTAGTCTATATATATTTGAGCTCGCCTCATAGTAGGGCAAAGCTAAATATGGAGGTTGCCATTTAGCTCTTTGGGTTGCCTTATTTGTTTATGGACTGAACATTCATTATGTAAATTTCTCTTCCATTATTATTTCACAAATAGATTATGTCACAATTAGATGCCAATTCAAACCACATTAAATATCTTTCTATCAATCAAAATATGAATGGTTGGGCATTTGTACAAAAAAGGTTCAATAGAAATCTTACCTGACGAAGTCTTTCCTACTTTTGGCAGTGTGAAGCTCTCCTGAACATCACTGAAAATGAAAGAAATGTTAATCATATATTTATAAAAGGGCTGCAAGTGTAAGGGTTTTAATTTGTCAAATAAACAGTTTAATATACCTCTCTGGAGCAGGAGATACGTCCATGTCACTGGTGGAGCTGACCTCAAAACAGGCCACATTTTGGGCTTCTGGTTTGGAGGAGTATGGGTCCTGGGCTGGACCACTACAGCCCTGTGCATTCTTCTCAAGTTCAGACTTCACTGTAACCGGACAGAGCATCACAGGGGACTGTTTCATGCTGCTTTTTGAAGGCTTTGGATCTTCTTTCTCAATATGCAGATCCTCTGTCTCCTCCATTTTGACACTGTCTTCCCTCTCCTCTGTTTGCTGGTTGGAGGTACTGACTTGGGACCCTCCACTGTTCCTCCTCCTGGAACGTGGGCACCGGGGTCTGGACCCTTCAGTATCCACCTCTGTATCACTGCTCTCTGGCAGCTCTGAACTCTGTGCTTTCTTCAGTAATTTCCTCTTCTTCAGTTTCCTCACCTTCTTTCCACTCCGCAACTCGGACGGAGAGGCGGGCACATGGAACTCAGAGGGCACAGAGGGAGTCTCAAAAGATGGGGCAGCTGTACTTTCTACAAAACTGCCCATTTCTGAGTCTCTCCAGCCTGGCGCGAGCATTTTATCATTAGTGCTAGCCTCAGCATAGTCTCGTGCCTGCAGGCCTTTCTCCATAGACTGCACCAGATCAGCTAAACCCTCTTTGGAGTCAAGAGGCTCTCCAAACTCATCTCGCTCCTGGTCTGAGCGCCTTTGGCACAACTCAGACCATCGCTTAGGAGATGGGAAAGGGCATGCTGCTGCTTCTGTTAAAATGAAAAAAAAAATGAAATGAAAAAAGGAAAAAGGAAAATGGCCATGGTCAATATACAATGTAATATAAAACTGATAGTAAGTGGACAAGCTCGACTCAGTTGGTCCATTCGGTCTTACTCAAACAGTTGGAGATGGGACTGTCTGTAATTTGAGTCCAGTTTGAGTAATTGAGTAATTTGAGTCCAATGGAAGACAAAAACATCTATTGATGTTTTTGTCTTCCATTGAATTAATTATTATTTAGAACTACCTCTTATGTTGTCTCATTTTAGATCTGGTATAGCTCTAATTTAGATAACCAGTGGTACTTGAAAAGCCAAATATTATCATAGATGTTATCTAGGTGGTGTGAAAAGTTTGCAAACTGCCAATTTAGATTAATAAAAAAACATTCAAATGTACAAATAATTATTTTTAAATTGAAGTAGTTTGATTGCTTACCTGTTGCAGATGCAGCAGAGGGCAGTTCTGGTGTGGTGCTGTGGGCACAGATAGCAGAGTCTTGTTCGGGGCTGATGTGGACAGGGGACCGTGGTTCCTCTTTCACAGCCACAGGAGTAAAGGGTACACAGGGGGCGGGGGGAGAGGCGCGAGGGCTGGTGCCACACAGAGGGGGGACTGTGATGGAGGGGACAGAGGAGGAGAAGGGCAGGTCTGAGTCATCTCGTCTCTCCTCTTTCACTATAGAGTCAGGGGCCTCCTCTGCACCGCCTGCTTGAAAAGGTCAAGACATTTAAAGACAGTTATGACAGTATATGATGTGCACGTAAAATTATTAACATATTTTGCAGACTTAGATCCAATCCCATACAATTTTTGTCAGTCCCTTACCTTGCATCCCTTTAAGCAACTCAATGCGCTTGTTTCTCAGTGTGCCCATCTCTGTAGTCATCTAACAAAAAGAAAGGAGCATCATTAAAACATTCAAGTAATGTAAATATCAAAAACAACAAAGATGCAAATATCTAAAGTGAGTATTCTATAAATCCCAGATGAATGAAAAATTTCCTTTGCACTTGAAAAACGAATCAGTCAGGGGATACCATATTTCACTTCAAGCCATGGTATAATGTTGTTACCATTATTAGTCTCTGTAGACTACTAATGGTAACAACAATAATCTCCAAACCTCAGATTGGAAATTCCAGGTCTGAAATAATCCAAATGATTCTAGTGAAGATGTATGAAGTTTGAAAACACAGTGGAGCACTTCCCATATTACCACATGATATCACTAACTTTTCTTACCTGTTGCTTAGCCATCATCAGCCGCTGCACTTCCACGTAGGCAGCTTCCAGAGCCGCACGAGCCTTAATCAGGTTTGTGTCCAAACTCAGGAGAGACCGACTGAGCTCATCCTCGCGTAAAGACACCACCAACAGCTCCTCAATGTGGGAACGGTCTGCAACTACAAATAACATGTGCATTAGTCACTGACCCAATATAATTCTTGGTAGTTCACAGCAGGTTGTACCTTTTTTGGATTTTTTCCTTCTTTTGGTGTGATGCTCCAAAGAAGATGTCTCTGGGTGAGGCACGTCCTAAGTAAAAAAAAATTAAATTAGTAAATTATTATTTCAACAGACATTTCTGAAAATCAGTTCATATTGTTCAAATCTTCAATTACTCACTCTCGCTCTCCTCTTTTTCGATGTCCCTTGTCCATCACACATCTCTGTTCCAGAGCTGATCTCATCGACGACAGAATCAGCCCTCTGCCATGCCTTCGCCGCCCTCTGTGGAGTGTCTTCAGCTTCACCCAGGCCCATCTCAATCTCCTGCAGAAGATCAGTATCCTGGGAGGGCTCCTGGGGCTCTGACTTGATGACTATATTTTCCAAAAACGGAGCATGGTTTGGCGTTGGGGCGATGCTGCTCTCAGATAGGGAACGTTTTCGGGAGGTGGGCGGAGTCTGGATGTCCAGCAGTGATTCCCATTGGAAGCCCTGGAGAAGCACAAAGTCGTCCTCTTCCTGACTGTGCTCCTCTTGGTCCACTGGCACCATCTCTATCCCAAATCTAGAGGAGAGAGGAAAGACAAGGCATAAACTTGGGAGTGAAAATCTATGACATACTAGTTTGAAGAATTAATTCAAGTATAGTGGGTTTAAAATAATAAACATATAGGTATATATACAAAACAAACATAAAAACATAGCATATATAGTCAGCTGAAATTAACAAATAATAGCCTGATTTGAAAATACATATCTCAGTGGGTTTTCAGGGCTCAGAAGGGCATGGTTAACTGTGGTTTATGTTGTTGAACAGATACGAGGCAGTTCAAACAGCAATGCATAAAGTAAACTCACTTCATTTTAAAAGGTTTTGATGTTTGATACTATACCTTAATAATACCATCAAGATAAGATTGCATTTTCAAGTTGGCTACAGGAGGGGTAAAATATTTAATACCACTTTGTTAACTCTTACCAAAGACTAATTCACAGAAAAGCCCCAACTCCAAATAAACATGGTCATCACTTACCTTGGCATGCCTTTCCCCTTGTCCTGCTTCTTCCTGACTTCGTGATAGACCTGTTCCCAGTTCACGTTTCGTCTGGACCCAGAGGAGCTGATGAGCTGCCGGACAGTGGGCTTCAGTCCTGAATCTTTATCAGAGTCGCTCTTCTTCGACCCGCTCAGATTTCGGACACGTCTCGCAATGTTCAGGTTGGGCTCAAGGCTGGGAGAACTTTTGGCCTTATTTGGGATCATGTGTTTGGTCAAATCCTTCTTTAGGAGAGGGGGCAAGTCAATTTTAGATTTTTGTGATTGAGTTTGTGGGTCACTAGTATTTGAGGCATCATTTTCTATGGTAGATTGTACAAATTTATCTTCAAATGGTTCCTTCTCTGTACTACTTTTGATTTTATCACTTTCCTGGTTCATGATAGGACTGGCTGAGCTTTCTACGGATGTACTGACTTGAAGATGCTGGAGGGACTGGTCTGGAGATAGCTTGGCAGGTTTACTCAGTGCTGGAATACATGGCTTAACTTGATTCTCCCTAACAGTATTTTCCTTATTGACTCCAACTTGCCTTTGCTCCAGTACCTGTGTTGCTTTTTGTTCGATGTTACTTAAACTATCCAAGGACCACCGCTTTTCCAGCTGTTTCACTTTCTTCACAGTTTCAGTTAGCTGCCGATCTGATTTTGATAAACCACTCAGGTTAGTTTTTGTCTTCAACTTGTCATTATTTTGACTAGATGCCTTGTTAACTTGAGCTCCACCACTTGGGCCTGCACCTAGGGAGGGTCTCCTTTCAGCTTTTTGTGCTGGCGTTTTTGCCTTTTGAGTAGATGGGCTAAGAGTAGCTGTAGTAGTTGTAGCAGCAGTAGTAGGATTAATGGTCATATTTTTCTGACCATCTCTCTGAAGACTACTACTTCTGCTGCTGTTGTTACTACTTTCCCCACTTGAGTTTCTTTTGTCAAGTTTGTAAGTGCCACTTTTCATTGCCTTCTCTACTTTTTGTGATTTGGAAGCTTTCTGAACAAGATTTGGCATGGATTCCGACCCTTTATTATTGACGTGGTATGGCGACCAGCGACACGTTTTGTCAAATTTGGGGTTGCTGCCAAAAGACTTGTTGCCCTTATTATCAGGATTCTCCTCTTCTGTGTTTTGTTTTTCCGCACCCTTAGGCCCATATTTCTGCTTACCTCCTTGGTTTGTGGCTTGATTCTGAAATTGATTGACGCCTTTTGTGAAGAGCTTCGGTAAGGAAGGGAACAAAGGAGGATGTGACCCCAAAAAAGGAGGTCGGACATTTTGAGATATGTTATTGCACCCGTAAACACCATTGCTGCTGCCTGAATTACTGATCCAGGGAGGTGGGATTTTGTTGAAGTTCTTGAAGTTTGGAGGGTCTTGTGCATGCCATGTGGAGCTCTTGCCCCATTTACTCTGCTGCCAGGGTTTCATGTTTTGCATGTGTCCGGGGTTGGTGCCATATTGGTTGCCCTTGTACCATGATCCGTGCTGGGGGCCATAAAGGTTGGACTGCTGTTGTAACTCGAGTCGAAAACGCTCCTTTGTTTCCTTTAATCTTAGCTGGAACTCCTCCTTCCTCTTTCGCTCAGCTTCTTCTTGTGCGAGCTTTGCAGCAGCTGCTTCCTTTTCTTTTCTATAAGCAAAACAATACAAACATAAAGCGATTCTAACAGAGTAGAAAAAAATATTACAAGTGGAATACAGTATTATTGATGTATTATCAGGGGTGTCCAAACTGGAAAATTGGCCCACAGTATCCTGGGAAGTACTTTTTACTGCTTAAATAATCCATTATCACTTAAATAACTATTTTGATGAGACAGAGACTTGCTGTTAAGGTTTGGCCTTTGTTTCAACCCATGGCCACATTAATGTATGCAGTGATTGTCTTCAAAAAGTATTATAGAATCATCTGAACAGTTCTGTTACTGTTATTGTAGTGATTGTTACAGTTAAAAATGAAAAATTCAAAATCAAAATGACCCTCTTTAATGGCTGATTTACGCACACTTAAAAATAATCAAGACGTGTTTTGTATTATTAGATGACATATCAAATAAGGCAGAGGAACGGGTCTTGTACGTGAATGTTTTTAGGCTGTAGCTCTGACATTGGACTCCAGGCGCCGCAGATGCTAAAAAAGGCCAATAAGCTTCACCAGCCAGAATGACTCTATACAAGGGCCAAGCACATGAGCACTCACAGCTATATACACACATCACATGTTAGCTCAGATATGGAGATAAAGCACTTAATCACAGAAGTCACACATTAACGGTACATGATGAATCAGCTCTGAGGGACTATAACAGCTTTGATCATTTCTGTGTTGATAATCTTGTTTGTTTGATTTTTATCTACAGTCTTGCTTTTTTTAATAATGATCTTCCTCTTTGATTTGCTCTCTTCATGTGGTCCTTAGTGATCATTTTAACCTGATATGTTTACTCAGATTTCTGAAAACTTTACACAATTATTCAGACATTAAGGACGATGCTAGATTTGCAATGATCATACCATAAAAATTGTGATGTTCTTACAGATAGTAAAAAGTACACCTCTATTTTAGAGTAATCTAAAAATGCATACACAACCAGTCAAAACTACAACTACCATTTGTCAACTAGGAAGCATTCACACTTGCACCACATCAAAATTGGAACAAAACTGGGATTAAAACAGGACTAGAAAAGGACCAAGCCAAGTTCACATCATTCAAGACTAAACAAGGGTCAAACCAGGACCTAAT